TAATAGCCCTGCTCTCTGGCTGTGCAAATTCAGCCTCCAGGTGTTGAACCTTGGAGGTCCATGTCTGAGTGAAGCTTTCACCCTTCCCTTTACAAATATTATGGAGGGCACAGCACGCAGATATAACCGCGGGGATGCTGCTTTCGGCCAAGTCCAGCTTCTCATACAGAGATCGCCAGCGGGCCTTTAAACGGCCAAAGGCACACTCCACAGTCATTTGGCACCGGCTCAGCCTGTAGTTGAACCGTTCCTTGCTGCTGTCAAGGCTCCCTGTGTAGGGTTTCACGAGCCACGGCATTAACAGGTAAGCGGGATCTCCAAGGATCACAATGGGCATTTCTACTTCCCCTACCGTGATCTTCCGCTCTGGGGAAAAAAGTCCCGGCCTGCATCTTCCTGAACAGCCAAGTGTTCCAAAAGATGCGTGCATCATGCACCTTTCCGGGCCAGCCTGTGTTAATGTCAATGAAACGCCCACGGTGCTCCACAAGCACCTGGAGAACCATAGAGAAATACCCCTTCCGATTAACGTACTCGGATCCTAGGTGGGGTGGTGCCAGAATAGGAATGTGCGTCCCATCTATCGCCCCTCCACAGTTAGGGAACCCCATTTGTGCAAAGCCATCCACTATTTCCTGTACATTACCCAGAGTCACGGTTCTTCTGAGTAGGATGCGATTAATGGCCTTGCAAACTTGCATCAACACGATTCCAACGGTCGACTTTCCCACTCCAAACTGGTTTGCGACTGACCGGTAGCTGTCTGGAGTTGTCAGCTTCCAGATTGCAATAGCCACCCGCTTCTCCACTGGCAGGGCAGCTCTCAATCTCGTGTCCTTGCGCCGCAGAGTGGGGGCGAGCTCCTCACACAGTCCCATGAAAGTGGCTTTTCTCATCCGAAAGTTCTGCAGCCACTGCTTGTCATCCCAGACTTCCATGATGATGTGATCCCACCACTCGGTGCTTGTTTCCTGAGCCAAAAGCGGCGTTCCACAGTGCTGAGCATGACCGTGAATGCCACAAGCAATTTCGTGTTGTACACGTTACGCGGCTCGATAGCATTGTCGGACTCCTCATCCTCACTGTCACTTTGGATCTTAAGGAATAGTTTGATAGCCAAACGTGACGTGCTGGCGAGACTCGTCAGCATACGCCTCAGCAGTTCGGACTCCATTTCCCGCAGACAGATCGCGCTGCACAGAAACCGTTGAAAGATGGTGCCAAAGGTGGACGGAAACAAAGGGATTTCTGGGATGCAAAGCGATGCATCACGTGGCATTGGGACAGGACCCAGAATCCCCCACACCCACGCCCCCTTCCCACAACCCACGGCGCCAGAATGGGAAAAGGTGCTCTGTGGGATAGCTGCTCATAATGCACCGCTCCCAATAGCGCTGCAATTGCCGCAAATGTGCTGACAGTGTGCTGGGCAGCTGTCAGTGTGGACAGACTGCAGCGCTTTTCCTACTCAGCTGCACGAAGTCAGGTTTAACTCACAGCACTGTACATCTGCAAGTGTAGCCAAGGCCATAGCCATGTGACCTCTTCCCAAGTGGAACTGAGAGTCCTCAGAAGAAGCACCAGTCCTAGCATTTGAGGGACTATAATGAGGACTATCTGGGCACATACATGTGTTCCAATGCCACTACGGACCAGCGCATCATGACTTTAATTGAATGGCCTTTTGCTCTTGTATTCTGAGAAATGTGCAATGATAAGCTGTATGCAGCATTTGATTACCTCGATGGGGAAACCCTTCTCAATTAATATTTAAGAAACCATTATTAGTGCCAAATACCATAAGAGGCTGAGCATCCTCAACTTCTCCCATTCACTCCAGGGATAGGTACCAAGCCGCCTTCTGAATGCTGTGTTTCTGCAACTAGACAAAACACAATACTTTTGTCACCAAACATGGAACCAATATTGTGCTATCTCAGCGCTTTATATGTACCCCTGACTTCCCCCTCTTCATGGCTGAAATAAAGGGGCATAATGTTTACATAATGGGTCTAATACCCTAACTATCCCAAAAGGAGAGCCAGTGCTATTATCCAATTCTGTTGCATCCATGTGGGCTTCCCTATTTTTGATACCAGGGGCTTTAAATGTTCTATGGCCTTCTGTGCATGAGCAAAACAGTTTTAGCCATAATTTGTGGCTTGTGACCAGAACTGATCATAGATCAGGGTCTTTAGTTTCATTGGTGCTCTATCGCCACAATAACAGCACTGATGTAATGTTAATGTACAGTGGATCATGCACCATAGCCTTTGAACTCCCTGGCTAAAAAGTGCTATGTAAGTGATAAGTATTATTCTTAGAAATAAAGGCTCTCTCAATGGGGCTCCAGTTTCCTACATCTTCTGCTCCTCTAACCCCTTCTTGGCCTCAGTTATACTGCACAAATAATCCTAAAAGCAAGTTAGAATAATTTAAAGCCAAGAACAGGAATATATTTGTATGCAGATCTATTAGCAGAACAGATAAAGTACAGCTTAATTTAAATCTTTGGAGCCACTCTTCGTTCCATCTCTTGCTGTTTTGCCAGCCTGAAAAAGACACACTAAATAGGACGTTGTCTCCTTATATCAACTTGTAAGCTGCTGTATGTGTGTGTTAAATGACATTTTGAATGCTCAATGGTGGCAATACTGTACTTATAAAGGTGAACCCAGTCAGGGCCGGCTTTAGGAAGAGCGGGGCCCGTTTCCTGGGGGCAGGGCTTGCTGCAAGCCCCGCCCCCAGGCCCCGAGCCATGCTGCGGGTGGGTGGGGGGACACGAGCCGCGC